CATGTTACCAAAGGAAGCTCAAAACAACATAATTAAGCTATTTTGGAGGACTTTGAAAAAGATGGTGTGCCATTTGTTAGTTCCTTGACCATGGCAGGTGTAACAGTTATGCTGTTATTCCATTACTTCCATGACAGAATGCGATGACCTTTCACCGAGTGGCTTCAAGCACATATATTCTCAATACCCTTAGCAGATTTTTTCAGCACTTGTTCTCACAGTGAAAGTTAACTTAAAGGACCATTTTTTTTCTCATCTAAAACTAATAACATAAAAATTTACATTATTCTCTCAAACAAAAAAGGTTATCATGCCATGTTTCAAGCCATCAAAAAAGACCTAATTTAGCATCTTATAGCCAGAAGGCATTTTAGTCTCTATCAAAAATCTCCTTTTACAGATAAGGAAGTAAAAGCCCAGAACAGTTTAATGAAGTCTGTAAACCCACCGCACTTAACTAGGTTAGAAAAGGTTAGGAAGGTTAGGATTAAGGTTAGGATTAAGAACTGGGCCTTTTGAACTCTAGGATGTTATTCAGGACCCTAAATAAAAATAACATGGCATCTATTTGTATGGGTTAGCTGATACATTCACTGTGGAACCAAAACTCTTTCTGCTTTATTTTTTTACTATTTACAACAAAGGATGAGTAAATTTTTAAAGTAATAGCCACTTTCTAATACACACACACACACACACACACACACATATATGTACAAACATATACATATATATGGACCAGTCTTATATAGCTGATTGTTACATGGTATGACTAGAAAGAAATTTTTTATTTTAATTTGAAAATTTCCCTAAATGTTGAAATATAACAATAGGTATTTCTTAAATAGGAAAAAGAATGATTTAAGAAAACAATTTAGGGTAATTTATGAGATATTTCTTTAAAAAATAGAACAGCTTTTCAGTAAATAAGGTAAATATGTTCACTGCTGAAGAATTGTGCAATGTCAAAGTCAAAGTCAAAGAGAACTACACAAATTCACCTTTTGTAGCAAATGCAAGGAGAGAGAAAAGTGAGAAGAACAGAAGTGTCACAGACTGTTTTCGCTCATCTTTGTTTGAGAAATGGCAGGAGGACAATTTTAGGAAACCATAATAAAATGGGCCAATCTACAAAATAGAAAAGAACAAAAATGAGCAGTATTTTGACTATAACCCACTCAGACCAGCAAAGTCCAGAATGTCTTTGTTGCCACAAGGCAGCTGCTGTCTGTGGATACAAAACCCTTTTTATTTCAATGTCACACTCAATCCTAAGGCATAAAACCAGCGAAAGAATAAAATCTTTTCTCGTTCCCTAAGAAAAGACTATATGGCTCACAAATAAAGCCAAATACCAAATAATGATCCCATTCTAGTAAAAGAAAATAGAAGCAAATTACAAAATAAGTCTGAAATCATTTTTAAATCATTTACTTTGGGAGAGAGAGAGAGAGAAAAGAAAATGGACTTAACATTAAGTTGATAGGACAGGTGGTATATTATACACTATGTTCTCTAGAAAGAATTATATTTCAATATCTATAGGGGAAATTAGTAAACCCAGAGAAAAGGGAGTCCTTTCCAAACATGGATTAAAAAGATGGTATCCTGATACATATAAATCAAATAAGTTATAAAATTAGCAGTGATAAGTAGATTATATGAAGTATAATATATAGTACATAATATGAAGTACATCTGTGTAATATCCAACTGGATTGTTATAGGAATTGTATAACAAAAATATAACACCTACCATAACATCAGATATTATATTAGGTATGGTTTTTATAATCACTTATGACGATTATTCCAAATACGTACAATCCAATAATTATCCCTAATTTAACTTCCCTAAAGGATACAGTAAATAAATCCTTATATCTATGTTTAAGAAACTTAAACTTACAATGATTTTTCTTTTAGATCTCTATCAGTACTCTTAGCAATTTAAGATCCTACATTAATTAAATCTCTTGCCCTTAATTCTAATGCAGATAGAAAAAACAAGCAATAATAAAAAACAAACAACAACAACAAAAAAAACCTAGGAATATTGCTTACATATAATCTAGCTTTAAATGTCTAGCTTAACAGCCATTTGTTCTAGGTTCAGTCTCCTGGCTTCAGAGTTGCTCTCAGCCCTCCCCTCCCTCTACCCCCCAGCATTCCAGGATTGACAGACAACTTTCCAGTAAATTCTTTGAAGGCAAGCATATTCCCAGGTCCTCAGTTCTTTCTTGGATTCTTTTAAACCTCTTAATATGTACCATTTACATTTCCCCAACATGTATGTTAAGTCACAATTATTTAAGTATAGATTTATTCTGGAATTTATATATGCAAGGAAAATGTCCTGACCTCAGATGTGACTACCTCGCTACACAAAGATTCTGAAAATAAAATTAATTGGCTCCTTTCCAATGTACATCTCTTGAAATACAAGAGTTTCTTAAAATACTTTCAAAACTTTGAGTATGACAGTTCCAACATAAGTACTGCCATAAATTCAGTTTTCAAAATATTATTAAATAAGAAAATTTTCATTTTTATTCTGATTTCAAATGAGTCTAGAGAAATTTCCTTTACAGTGTGAACATAGCATTGGAGAATCATTAGGTTTCAGTAGATACCAATATAAATATTAATTATATATCCTCAATTTTTTACTCATATTGCAAAAAAGGAATGCTGCATCTGTAGTCAAATTAACCCTTCTCCCAAACCCAGCCTGTTCCACATGCATGCACATTTTCACACACTCATACTTACACAGAAAAAGATAAAACCACAAACAATACATGAGTGATTTTTTTTTAATCACATGAACTCTTCAGTGCATCTGCCGAGTGGTTCTTACCTGAAGCCATAACTTGTTATGCACAGCATCTCTCCCTGTAGCAATGCACTGAAATGTGGCATTCTGCCCTGCATTGACTCCACATCCCCAAGACGGAGAAAATGAGGGGATTTATCTGTGAAAGTAGAAAAAATTTATAATTTATTTTTTCACATGAAGAAATTACACCATGTTACTTTTCCTGAACACAGTATTTCTCTTAATGCTTCTATCTTTAGACAAGCTAATATGTATAAGAAAATGGACTTCTGTTTACTAGAAAACGTCATTTCCTCTCTCACTCCCACAGCTGTCTTCTGTTCAGTATTCTATACCTATTGCTCCATAATTGCTAGAACATTGTTCTCCATAGGGAGCATTCAAAAATTCTACCTAATAGCTACTGTATAGCACATTGGTTATGGGCAATAATAAATAAGGTATAAGTGAAAGTAAGAAAAAAAAAGATTAAATAGGAACATACCAGAGCATAATGTAAAGATATAAGAACATATAAAGATTTCTAAAATACTGATTTAATCACTTCTCCTTTCTTTGTTAAAAAAAAACTTCAACAGGAAAGCAAAACATGTCCTGTCCGGAGGATAGGTAACAGTGAGAGGGGAGTGGATATAAAAAAAAGGAGTCAGAGGGAGAACATGGCGGAAATACTCTGTATACATTTATGTAAATGGAAAAAATAAGGCCTACTAAAACTATTGTAGGAGCGGTGGTGGGGAGGTAAAAGAGAATGATGGAGGGGGTGAATTCAACTGTGATATACTGTGAGAAATTTTGTAAATGGCACAATGTACCCCTAGTATAACAATAATTAAAATAAAGTATAAAAACTAAAATAAAACTTCCATTCTTAGATCCTTCTAGTACTTCAAAGAATGAGGGAAAATTGTTGTTTCTCAAAATCAAAATATCCATTTAACTGTTGTTAAATCCACTTCCTATTTCTTTATAGATCAACAAAAATTGACTCTAATCAAAATATACAAGATTCATACAACTGTCAACTCAGTATTGTCTGCAATTACCTTTTAAAACTGAAGTTCCACTGATGGTTTCCACTGAAAGAAAATACGATGAGCAAAAGCTAAGCCTTGACGAATAAAAGAAAAGCTCTCTGAGAACCATACTGCACTGCAACTGCCATTGTTGTGCTCAACTAATAATTTCTTACCTGTTTACTCAGGAAAGCCTTTCTCTGTCATCTGTCACAAACAGGAGAAGGAAGCACAATTCTCACAGGAATGGTTTGAAAGAATTTACTAAGCCAACCTGAACTCTGAGGGAGGTCATTTTGTTCTCTTCGTCCTAAGAACATATCACATGGACTATACAATTCGACTTTTACCTGGTACATCTTTCTCTAGGGCCCTACTATAGTAAGAGCTCAGCTTGAACTAGAACATGAGCTAGAAGAAGCATTCTCAAAGAAGGAATTCTTGACCAGGCTATCAGCAGCATCTGGGAAATAATTAGAAATATAAATTCTCAGGTCCCATCCCAGACTTAAAGAATCAAGACAGAGGGAAAAGGTCAAGCAATGTATGAGTTAGCATCCTCAGTGGAGGATCCTGATGCACTAGAGCGTAACAGTCACTCAGCGGGGGCACAAGCCTTCACCCTTGGCAGGGTAGCCCCAGTGTATTATGTTTACAATATGTTTGCTAGAGCTGGTACCATCAGGGAGGATTACTGCACAGAACATCCAAATACATGGGCCCTACACAATGTTGTTGCTGGAACATGTAAGAAAGAAAAGTCTGAATTTATACCTGTGGAGTTTAGCCTGGCTGCACTGAATGTTTGCTATAATTATCTTGTGGGTAATGTATTTAAACACAACTTTAGGTATGTTATCTGGAAAGTAATCAATGTGTTTCTAAGGGCATAATAAAACTATGTGTTGGTAAATGAGTTTTTGTTTTATTAACTTTCTGTTTTTTAATGCTAACTAACCTGATATTTATTTTTATGACATCAGCAAAGAGATAGTCCAAGTTTGAAATAGGTGAACTAATTCATTCCCTTCATTTCACCTCAGCCTGACATTAGCAGATCCAATAACTTAGTGAGGCTTCTTGTTATCTTCCTTTCTGTTGAACTCTGATGTTATTCTTTACTTTCCTTGATACTTGAATAATACTCAAAAGATACAATATGTCCTACACAGACGTGCCTTTGCATATATACTTTGTTCACAGTAACTAAATAATTTAAGAGATTCCTTTAATATGTTTACAAGTCAGTTATAAGTCTGAAAAATATTTGAATCAAAAATTCTAGAAAGATTTCAGGGATATTGTCACACTAAAGAGAAGACTAGGAATAACAACAACAAAGAGACAGCAATGACCAAGTGAAAAACAATCAACAGTCACTGCCAATATAAGACAAGTGTTGAAAGGACACAGAAAAATACAATTCTTAATCACAACCTACCACAGGGATAACTCAGTACTTGAATGTCATCAATGGCAATATAACCACTTCTCCCTCCTGAGACTTCTGCTTCAAATATTACCTGTCAAGAAGAAACAGTAAACATTTACAACAATCATTCTTTACAGTAAAAGGAGAGTAACAGTAATATACTTTAATGTAAATTTGATTTTTGTTCTACTAAGAATTTAAAAATATATCTTACAATGTAATTTCCCAAACCTTGTACAGGCACAAAAAAAAAATATTTGAATAGTCGAATTACTAAGTTGAAACAACTCAATTTTGAGGGAATGGGAGATAATAGAGGGGTTCAAGTGCAAGGACCTTGCACTTGCTAAAAGGCACTCTTAAGGCTTAAGTCATGTCCCTAGCCCCAAACAGCTCAATATTTTTTATTATCATGGATTAATAGATTTCATGAATAGGCAATATAAAGGCAGATAAGTAAAACTGCTATCTCTAAAATTAAATCTTCTATGGACTTTCCCCATTTTTGTTATCTATTTAACATCTGTTGTGCATCTACTGTGTTCTAAGCAGTATGCTAACCAGTGAAAGTATCAAAGGCATAAAGAAATAATTTTCCAGGATAGAGATCAACACATATTGGTATTCCTGGCAAAATAAATGATATACAATGAAACAGAATATGACTACAGGTTTGGATAACTAAATTAGAAGACATGAGGATAGAAATAGGCATGGATAACTTGAAATGTACTCTGTCAACAGCTCTACATTAACAAATGTCAACCAAAAAAAATTGCATGGTTAAACACAGGCTCATGTTGCAGAGTTTTGTTGTTATACTTGATAGAAAAACTTCATATGGCCTTTTTAAAAAAATGTGCTGTGATTTTCCAAGAGAAAACAGGTTTAGCCTTTAGCATTTTGATGTTTTATTTGACTTCTTTATTCATGGAGATATATAGATCATTTTGAAGTATTTTGAAAAGCATTTTAGGAAATACAATCAAAGTTGATATTTAAAGTAAGAAAGTAATACAATCAAATTGACCTAATAGAAATATATTTGGTTATAAGGTAGAAATGATCTGAAAGAAACAGACAATGTGTTAGCAGCTGTAGAAATGCTTAGATGGAAACCAAAATAATACTAAAAAGCAGACAAGCTAGAACTTGTTGGCTCATTAGCTGTAGAAAAATACAGAATAATTCAAGCATTGCTGGCTTGGGCTACTAGGTGAGTGATGCTGTCAAGACTAGTGATACAGAAAAAAGATGCAAATATCTGAAGATGGTAACTATTGGGTACTATTCATATTTTATTTCCTTCCAAAAAGATATAGGGGGAAATGCTTAGGGGATACTAAATAGGTAGATCTGAAAGAGAAGAGGTAGGATCTAGAAGAGAGCATCATAGAAGGCAGTAAGCTATCAATTTTAAAAGTTAGTGTGATGGGTGAGTAAGATGGCACAGGAAGATAAATGAAGAGAGGGATCTATGCAAAAGGAAGGCCAAGACTGAAAAGTAGCTACCAGAAATTTAAAGCCAAAGCATAAATAAGAACTAATGGTAAAGGAAGAAAGAAAAGTACCAGGTATCAGGTACATCAGCACTCCCAGAAAATTAATTAGATAAGGTCAAGTAACTGTAACTTAGGATACTTGATTATGTAAACAATGGCACCTAATAAACACAAATTTTCTGAGGAGAGAGCCTTTCTACTACTATCCACTGAGCTCTAGCCATTTTTCCCTTCCTATGAGAATATTTGCCAGTTCTTGGATCAGTCTGTGGTCCTGACTCAGCACATACTGAGGACCTCTTACAGAGAAAGAGAAAGTAATGAAGCTAGTAGTGGCTGTGTGAAAACTGAAGTAATCTGCAAAGTTGGGAGGCCATATTAAAGAAAAAAATAAGGTGTAGGCCATGGTAAATAACACCAAATATAGAAGAGCAGTCAAAGAAAATGCAATTAAAAAGTATAAATTGGGGTTAGTGATTATTAGATCCCAGGTAACCTTTTCCAGGACAATTTTACTTGAGAGGAGGAGCAGAAACTCGATGACACTTGTAATAATAATTAACAATTATTGAGCACTTAACTGTATGAGACTGTTCTAAGCTAGCCTGCTTCTGCTTCTTCTCTCTCTCTCTCTCTCTCTCTCTCTCTCTCTCTCTCTCTCTCACACACACACACACACACACACACACACACACAAAGCCCATGGAATTGTTCATACAGTTGTATGAGGTACGTATTATTTAAAGTTAAGAATGAGACCAAGACCAAGCAGCTGACAGTGGTCAAGCAAGAAATGGCTGAGCCACACTACCTCTAGGCTGCTTTCATCAGTTCACTACATAAAGAAGTAGACAGAGTGAGAGGATTTCATTTAAGTAGATTTTAGGCTTTTAATGTCCTCTGTACAATTTTAAATAAAAAAATTAATGTCATTTCAAACAGCACACTTGTTTATATATTATAGGGATTTAGTGATAGTATCATGAGCATTAAACCCTTCATGCTGTCATATCAAACACCTACAGCCACCAAAAAGAGATTCATGGTTCCTCTTTCCTCCATCCATTTCATCATCAGCTTTCCCCTGTATTATATCTTTTGTACTTCTTACTTGCCCATAGTGAGCACAGATTTTATTGGAATAAGTTGAAGTTCAGAAGGATGAGGGCTTAGAGGAAAAATGATTCATGATAGGAGGACTGCTAATGAAGGACATAGACATGCTGGGGGGAGGACATGCACAGATGATTCGCATTTCATATAAATGCTTTTTGTATAAACTTGATCGCCATATTGTTTGGTAACTATTGGAAAAAGGGATTAGCAAGATGTAGAGAACAGAATCCAAAAGTTTAAACAATGTATAACTGATGCAATTGTAGTACATAAGAGACTTTCTTCAGGGGTAAGAAAACAGTATTGGATTCCAAGCTCTCTTGTTAACAAATCTTGAGCAAATCATGTACATGTGAGTTTGGGGACTTTTAGAGCAAAGCCTTACCTCTATAATATGTGTATATTACGTCTTTCATTTTGAAATTTTTAAGACTTAAACAATAGCATATGAAAAGTTGCTCTTGGAGTAATTATTGACATTGTTTTCATGTGAGGGCTGTGTAAGTGAACCATAGGAAAATAAGTTTTATTTGCTTAAACAATGGTTCAAGGAAAGAGAAAGTAGATAAAAGAAAAAGTAAGAAATTATTTTAGAGAAAAAACACATTCTAGTGAATAAACCACATATTTGTGTAACAACTAACATCTGTTAGTTATTTCAGCTTGTTCTTGTCAGCACTAATTAAATTATTTTAACTTCTTGGCTTACCTTAGTGTTACTTTCTAGAATTGTTTAACTCCCCTTGCTTTGCATAGGTTATAAGTTTAAACAACATTACCATACCCCTGAGAAAATGCTCTTATTTGTTCATTTAAATTGAGGTTTATTCAGCACAGTAAATTTAGGCCTTGATTCAAAAGAAGGCAAAATGATTGGTTCTTTATTAAAGGGGAAAAAAGTTCTCTTTTTAGTGTCCTCATTTTCTCTGCTAAGTGTTGTCTTTGCCTCATTAACAAGAGCTAGAAGACATTTCTGAGATCAGATTCCTTTACTACTGAAGATATAATCAGCTTTAACACTTCAGCAGAGCCCTCACCTTGTAAGGCTCTTATGTCCAGTCAGGGGAAACAAATCTTAACAGCTTAATTACTCAGAGCTTGCTTGGGCTAGTGCTCAGGTCAGATCTAATGCTTGGTGTCAAGTGGTCAACCAGGGCTTCCCAGAAGAAGAGAGCAATGGATGCCACACAAGACGTCAACTTTCACCCTTCCAGGAGGACAGCCTGGGACCAAGGCGGAATGCTTTCCCTGCTGTTTTTACTCCACTCCATTACCTGAAATACTGAAGGTGATGATTCTAATCAAATTTTTGCTACACCAGCAACATTCCTGGATTACTAACTAAATAAGTGAAGTAAAGTCGAATTAAAGTAGAGGAGAAAATAGTGTCAAACCTGAAAGAACAATTCTGTCCTCTGGAAAACTGGGTTAATACAGACAAGGAAGGGTCTCATAGCATGTAAAGCTGAACTCGATGTCAGGGATCCTGGGTCAGTTGTTGTTGGTCTGCTGTCATGTGTAACCCACAGAAACAAATAACAAGTGACTTTATAGCCTGTTCTGAACTATTCTGCCTTTGCCTAAATCATAGGTTTGTTGGGAAGACTGAATGGTATATATAAATGATTAAATGACATATGAAATGATATAAGGTATTATGGGTACTGAAGAAATCAGAAAATTTAACTATTAATTGTCTTTAGTTATTTTTGACTGGAGGTACTGGAGTTTGAACTCAGGGCCTTGTGCTTGCTAGGCTGAGTGATGGCCTGAAGCCCTTTTTCTTTAGACTATTTTCTTAAATAATTAATTAATTTTTCAGATAGGGGCTTACGTTTTTGCCCAGGACTGGCCTGGACTTCAATCTTTGTACCTACAGCCTCCCTCCTTCCCCTACCCCCCTATATCTGGACCACAGGTGTGAGCTACCATTAATTATCTTTCATTATGTCCAAATGGTAAGTGTCTAAGCTCCAAAACCAGGTATGTATTTAGTTCACTCCCTTTAACTATCACTTTAACTTGTATAAAAACTGCTGTAAAGTTACTTTTTTAACTTACATAAAAGTTAAACACTGGTTTCCTCTCCTATAACAGAAACTATTCATGTCTACCTCAGGGCTTTAGACAGGATTAAATGAGGTCATGTACATGACACACTCAGCACAGCTCCCACACAGTGAGTACTGTGCATCAAATAGCATCACTGCCATCATGGGAAGAAAACACCCATAATAGGACACATGCAATAAATTGAAATTTATCAAGAACTGAAGCCCCTACCCCAAACTTGGAAAAACGTAAAAGAAACTGGCATTTCATTCCCATGAAACTCCTAAAACTATATTATTGTGATTTGAATTTTTAAACTTCATATTTTACTATTGTAAATCTGAAGTAAATCACAGTTTTCCTTCAAAGACTAAAGGAGCCAAAATGAAATCATATCTCTAATATTTATTGAGAATACTAG